ACACACACACACACACACACACACACACACACACACACTTTCCCAGATACGTACGGCACAGTCCAGCCTCCTGGCCTCCTGTCGGCCCCATAGGCCCCAGCTGCCTCTACCCTCGCTGGCCACCTCTCCATTCCCAGGAAGCCACCTCATGGCTCCAGTCTTGGCTGCAGCAACTCCAAATCTCCCTAGAGAGGCCCTTGCGGGCAACTCCTCTCTCTTTGCCCATCCTTCTGGGCCATGGCTCCAGCAAGGCCTGCAACTCAAGGCAAAGGTGGCAGAGGCCTTCTCCAAGGCAGTTCAGAATTAAGGCTGCCCAAGGGAGCTCAGCGCTGGAACATCATCCCCCTTGACCCCCTCCCCTCTGTCTGCCTGGCTTCCCAGGGCTGTCCTGTTTAATTCTTAATGGAAATTCCATCCCTAGCGCCGGCCTGGCTGGCTTACGGAGTCCAGGCTTGGGCCAACAGCAAACTCCACCCAGAGACAAGAGGCCTCCTGGCCATATAAACACAGATACGCCATATGCACATATGTGTATACACACACAAGCAGAGAGACTTGCCCAGAGACATTCACAAATTAGAGATTCTCACCCAGATACAACCGTACACAGAAAGATAATAGGCACTCTAATCACTAATACTTAGGGCACAGTACTAAGTACTTTGCAGATAGCAACTTCCCTGATCCCCACAACAACCCTGGGTTCTGGTATTATCCCCAATGTACACATGAGGAAACTGAGGCACAGGGAGGCTAAGTCACTGGTAGAAGGCATCTAGTAACAATAGCCTAACCCATGAATCCTAAGAACTGTGGAAAGGGCTTATGCCTTCATTTTGCCACCGCGGTCACTTTTCGTGGAAGTTACTATTATCCCATTATACAGACAAGGAAAATGGAGGCCAAATGGTTTAAATCACCTGCCTGTAGCCTCACAGCTTGTGAGATGCAGGGAGACTTTACACAGATATGTACAGGAACCCTCATAGATGAGCATGGAGACACACAGGTAAGGAGATACATGTCCACACGCACGTGCGCACACACAGAGGAACAACTGTAGTTTCTTCTACCAAAAGAAGCCTCAGGAATTGTCCAGAGCTGCCTCACGCAAAGGTCCCCTGTAGCCTGACTCCATGCTCTTCTTCCATTCTGGCTCCACCAACTTCACAAATCACTTTAGGAAGGGCAAGTTCAGACCTAAATGGAGGGAAGATTTCAGGTTTACAGGTCAGCCAGTCAGGTCAGTAGTCAGCCCTCCATCCTCAGCTCCAAATCTGATTTGCCCAGCATCTGATACAAGGTCAGTGGAAGAAGGCCCAGGTGCACTTTCCAGAAGGGATCCGTAGGGAGTACCTTAGAGACTCTGGGCACTGTGAAGAGGCTGACCTGGGAGGGCTCCCAGCCTCCAGGACCAGATGAGGTGGACAGGCCCCAGAGGTGGGGTACAGCACGAGAGCCTCAGGCAGAACAGAGCATGCGTTGCCCGAGGGAGCTGGAGCCACATTACAGACATGGCAAGACTTTGGTGGCAGGGGGAATGGAGGAGGAGACAGGGCAGGACCAGAGCCCAGGGAGTTAAGAGAATAGGCCTGCAGAAGGACAGAAGAATTTGGCATCCAAGAACTTGTCCACTGCTTAAAGCTTCCACGCTAAGCTGGACATCCCCAAGCAGAGGCTATGCTGGCCCTGGGCCTCCTCCCAAGCAGCGCCACCAGAGAACACCCAGGAAGGCCTGTCATAATCAGGCTCATCTCCATTGCCTCTTCCGCATTGAGAATCCCCTGTACGTGCTGTCACAAGCCCATCCACACTGTGGTCTGAGGACAGCTCAGCAGGGCAGTCCCATGGGGCATCTGGATTGGAAAAGGTTTTTAGGAACCTAAACCCCCACAAATGAACCTGACATCACATTATCAGGCAAGGGCTCTAAGAGGTGGAGACACTTTAGTCGGCGAATTTGCATTTCTAAAAACTTCTCAGATGCTACCCATTTGGGTGCCACACTATGAGAACTCCTGCTTTATAGAATAAGAGAAAGTCAGAGGTCATTCCAGCTCAAAAGTAAATGTGCAACCTAACTTCAGAGTGCAAATGGATCCTTCTGCAAGGTCCCTAAAGAAAGAATTCACATCCCAGGAGTCGTTTGCACTTACCGCTCCCCAATCTCCATCTTCCCAGCTTCTGTGCAGGCCCTGCTGTCCCTTACTATGTCTCCTGTGGGCTCCCCAATGGTCCCTCTGCCTCGGCACTTCCCAAGTGAGAGAGGACATCCCCCACTCTGTGCTCCAACAGCTCAGAGAGGGTTATCAGGAAGAGGGACCTGCACAGAAGTAACTGCCAACCAGGCAGGCTCTCGGTCCTGGGGCTGGAGATACCAGATCATGATGTTGTGATGACAGCAGCAGGAAGGCCAGGGCACCCAGAGAGATGAGAGCTGGGCAAGGGTCCCAGGACCCACAGCTCCCCTCTCATGTCCTGCAGCCCCCGTCTCCATCCCTGAGGCATGCACGCCACAATGGTGCCCTGCCTCCAGGCGTGATGGCACGACAGGGCACTCGGGGAGAACAGTGAGAGGTGAACCTGGCCTCAGAATCCCAGAAAGGCTGCTGCGGGCACACCATTGACTCACTTGGCCCATCAAACTCCCCGGGACTTCTGCAACGCTCTCAAAGGGAAAACTTCCCCCAACTTCCAGAGCCAGTGTGAGAATTTGTAATATAATTAGAACGAGGCAGTGTAATGGCCAGAAAGGTCCTCAGAGATCTCTGGGTGCAAGGGTTCTGAAATTGCATTATCCACCAGAATCGCCCGAGGGGGGAGGGATGCAGATTCCCAGGGCTCCTTCAGAGGTTCTGATTCTGTCAGCCAGTGATGAGCTGGAGCCCCCGGTTCACCTACCTCTCTTCCCAACTCCCTGTTCAGTGACTTCACTTTGCTAGCTTGAAACTGGCTGTGGTGGGAATGTTTGTTTACACCACAGAAATTGGGCCAACATTACAAATTGGGGTGTTTTGTTTTGTTATACTTCGCTTTGCTTTGTTTTAGAAAGTCTGCTGTGGACCATTTACTAGCACACCATGGAGCATGTGGGTCTCTATTTTCAAG